GGGCGCCCTGTTGGGGCCGGCCACCACGCCCGCACACCGGTGCCCGTTGCCCGCAACCGCGCCCGTTGCGCCCGAACCCGCTAAGGCCCCTGTGCCTATGACATGAGGGGCCCAGGCCCTAGAACGAAAATTAAAAAAAAGATTTAATAAAATAAATAAATGATTAAAATAATTAAAATATTAATTAGTTAATTAATTAGAGAATTAATTAACTTAATTGATCCTGATTAGATTAACCTAATCACCTAGTTAGTTAATTAATCTATTAGGTTAGTTAACAGTCAATGACAGCTGGGACCCACACGTCAGTTGACCAGTCAACTCTGTTGACTGCTGATGTCAGCATGACATCATGCTGATGTCATTATTCCATTTTTGAATTAATTTAAATAACTAATTAAATTCCAGAAATTAATAAAATCTTTAGAAAATCATATCTTTTAATCCGTAACTCGGATTAAAATATTTTCAACATGAAAGTTGCTCAGAACGACGAGACGAACCCGGATACGCAGCCCGTTCGTCCACCACACACCCCTAACATATCAAACACGCAACTTTCCCTCTCTGGTTCATCTGTCCGAAAACGCGAAACACCGGGAATACTTTCCCGGATGTTTCCCCCCTTCGTCGGTACCACCTCATACCACGTTAGGGCACACCTAGCACCGCTCATTGTCACGTCACGCATCGTCGTGTTTATGTTTGCATTGTATTCATTGTTTCTTCCCCCCTCTTATCTCCGGTAGACTACGAGACCGACGCTGCTGCTGCCCAGTTCGACTACGGAGTTGACGACCCCTCTCTCTTGCCAGAGCAACCAGGCAAGCCCCCCCCCCCTTGATCACCAGATATCGCCTATTCTCTTCTATACTGCTTGCATTAGAGTAGTGTAGCCTGTTACTGCTTTCCGTTGATCCTATTCTGATGCATAGCCTGACATTGTCGCTACACCTGTTGATACCTTACCTGCAATCCTAAATGCTTAGTATAGGATGCTAGTTTATCATCATTGGCCCTACATTCTTGTCGGTCTGCCTTGCTATACTATTGGGCCGTGATCACTCGGGAGGTGATCACGGGTATATACTATACATACATACATACTATACAGATGGTGACTAAAGTCGGGTCAGCTCGAAGAGTACCCGCGAGTGATTCACGGATTGGGGGCTGAAAGGACCTTTGTCCCGACGGCCCTCTGTGTGGATCTTTGTGGTGGAGCGACAGGGCAGGTTGGGACCGCCTAGGAGAGAGGTGGGCCTGGCCCTGTTCGGCGTTCGCGGATACTTAACACGCTTAACGAGATCTTGGTATTTGATCTGAGTTGGCTACGAGCCTATACGCACTAACCATCTACGTGGGAGTAGTTATGGGTATCCCGACGTCGTGGTATCAGCCGAAGCACTTCAGACGTCAGCGACGGAGCGGCGCGCGCCGGATTGGACTGGAACGCCTGCTAGGCTAGGTCTGCTTCCGGCCGCCCACGCAACGTGCAGGTGTGCTCAGGGCGATGGGCCCAGACCCCTGCGCGCTTAGGTTTAGACCGGCGTGCTGGCCTCTCTGTTGTGCCTCGGTGGGGCTGCGACGTGTTGATCTTCCACGGCCGGGCATGACCCAGGAAAGTGTGTCCGGCCAAATGGGATCAAGCGTGTTGGGTAATGTGGTGCACCCCTGCAGGGAAGTTAATCTATTCGAATAGCCGTGATCTTCGGTAACAGGACGACTTGAAGTTGTACCTTGACCTTATGACAACTAGAACCGGATACTTAATAAAACACACCCTTCCAAGTTCCACAGACAACCCGGTGATCGCTTTTCAACAGGGCGACGAGGAGAGGATCGCCGGTTAGGATTATGCTACTGCGATGCTGCTGGAGATGCTACTGGAGTTGTTACTTGGAGTTGCTATTTGGAGATTCTACAGTGGAGATGCTACTTGGAGGACTTCAACCTACCCTCTTCTACTTGTTGCAAGACGGAGGTGACCAGAAGCGTAGTCTTTGATAAGACTAGCTATCCCCCTCTTATTCTGGCATTCTGCAGTTCAGTCCACTGATATGGCCCTTTACACATATATCCATGCATATGTAGTGTAGCTCCTTGCTTGCGAGTACTTTGGATGAGTACTCACGGTTGCTTTTCCCCCTCTTTTCCCCCTTTCCCTTCTACCTGGTTGTCGCAACCAGATGCTGGAGCCCTGGAGCCAGACGCCACCATCGACGACGACCCCCTACTACACCGGAGGTGCCTACTACTACGTGCAGCCCGCTGACGACGACCAGGAGTAGTTAGGAGGATCCCAGGCAGGAGGCCTGCGCCTCTTTCGATCTGTATCCCAGATTGTGCTAGCCTTCTTAAGGCAAACTTGTTTAACTTATGTCTGTACTCAGATATTGTTGCTTTTGCTGACTCGTCTATGATCGAGCACTTGTATTCGAGCCCTCGAGGCTCCTGGCTTGTATTATGATGCTTGTATGACTTATTTATGTTTTAGAGTTGTGTTGTGATATCTTCCCGTGAGTCCCTGATCTTGATCGTACACGTTTGCGTGCATGATTAGTGTACGATTGAATCGGGGGCGTCACAGATGCCCCAATTTGCTACAAGTATCTATGGCCATGCCATGGTTATGAGTTTGACAATAGACAATTCTAGGAAGAATTCTCCAAACAAGAAAAGCTCTAAGAAAACTAGGTCCACCAACTCAAGTGTATTTATTAGCAGCAGTAATAGCAGTCTATGCAATGAACTAGACCTTTAACAAGTCAGGTTTTAACAAAAGAAAATTACTCCTGCGTACTGTAGGGTCTAGGGTGTCAAAGCGAGATTTATTTAATTTGAGTTTTTTTTTAACTTACGCTAGGTCCTGCAAGATTTTATGTTATGCGGTAAGGCACAATGTAAAATGTGAGGCTAGGTGGCTTCCAAGTTGTTAATGAAAGCTATTGGCGTGTGGGTGTCTGTTTAGTTATTGATTTTGAATGAAATAGAACATCACCTAAGTTAACTATGCTTGACAAGAAGGGGAGCCTTGGCGCAGCGGTAAAGCTGTTGCCTTGTGACCATGAGGTCACGGGTTTGAGTCCTGGAAACAGCCTCTTGCAGAAATGTAGGGAAAGGCTGCGTACTATAGACCAAAAGTCGGACCCTGTGCAAGCGGGAGCTACGTGCACCGGGCTGCCCTTAACGATGCTTGATAGAAATTTTTGAAATAGTGGAGAGAAAACCTTCTCTTAAAAGCTGTTGAAGATTTCCTCTGTGCATGAAGTCATAAACGAGAGCTAGGCACTTCTTGTTCTGGCAATATCCTTGTAGAGTCACGAGATTCTTGTGATGAACTTTGGACAAGGTTTGCACCTGCAGCAACAGATATAATTACCAATCATCCTATAGCTTTTTTTGATAAAGGAATCACCCTATAGCTGAAGCCAATTGCATCATTTAATTGGATATGGACTCTGCAAGGGTTGATATCTTGCACACTTTTAATTTACTTTCTGTTGAAGAAATCATTGATTTGACCTAGTTACTTTCGTGATATACCTCAGGAAGGAAGTCTGTTGACTCTACTATTGATGTCTCCATGAGCACCTTAACAGCTACTTCATCACCATTTTCCATTGTGCCATGATAAACAGTGCCAAAACCTCCTTTTCCAACGATTGAATGGAAGTCGTTTGTTATATGCTTCAGCTCTGCGTACGTGAACCGTCTGATATCAATATGTAGGGGTGTTTCCTCTTCATACATAGCATAATTCTCACTGTCTCCCGACTTTCCTGCGGATTCAAAAAAATAGTGTGTTACATGAAAGTTCTGGTGTGAAGCTGTTGTCTAATGTATATGACCTATTCCATTGATCAAAGGGAATTTAAGAGCGGAATTTTTTTGTTTTTACCTTTCCAGCACAATTTCCATAGAATGCACATCACTACTAGGAGGGATACCAGCACTACAGGAACTATCACTGCGATCGCCATGGTAGATGTGGTTTTCTTCTTATTATTTGAACAATACGTATCTTTGACTTTTGAGCATACAGGATTGCCTTCTAATCTGGTGGCACCATTACACAACATATAGAAAAAAATGAACTGGTAAGATGTTATCTACAGCAGGTCTACAGAATTATGGTTGGAAGATGCCTCCATTTTCTAACAAGACTAACCTGCTAAACATTTACGCATTCGGAAAGAACAAACTTCATAGTTTCTCATCTATGCACTCTAGAAGAAGAAACTTCATGTTTTGTAAATTATGTGCAGTTACTAAGGTTCTCATCTATTTCTCATATTGAATGCCCATACAAAATAAAGCTTTATAGTTACTATTAGATGCTAGTACATGTAACTGAGGGCATGCTTGAATCAATGTAATGCTCTGCACAAGTGTTGCTTCACACACTTTTTGTGGCACCCGAATTGGCCGTCACAACTTCATTGAATTTGGTAACTGTTCACGTATATGACAAGCGGGGCTGCTCCGGCATGGCGTTAGAAAGTGTGGCATGCCACAAAATATAACACCCGCCAAACTGTAGCCACAGAAAGTCGAACTTGTGTAACTCTTGTTTGGTGAAGTGCGGCGTATTTACATTTTATGTGCGAAGACTGTTGCTAAACCTTGATTTTTCTATGAAGCCGAACCCTGTTTCTTTTCAGTGTAATTGTTTAATTTGATATATTTTTTCTGTAGTCAGAAATTGTGAAATATTCAGTTAAAAGAAAAGGAAATGTGCAACAGAGCTTGCAAACCTTAAGTCAAGCAGACCAGCCTGAGATCTTTGAAGAATAGAATTAGGGATTGGTCCATCGAGCTGGTTGTATGACAAATCGCTGTAAAATAAAGTTAAAACCGTTCTCTAAATTTTATATCATGAACCAAATATTATAATAAGCAGGGAGACTTACAGAACTTTGAGTGACTTTATTTGGTAGTCTGGAATAGGCCCTGTCAAATTGTTGTGTGATAAATCCCTACATATGTTTTGTGCTTAGTGTCATAAAAGTGCCAAAAATAATCCCATTTAGCCCATTAATATTTAGTGTTAGGCACCACTTACAAGTTCTCCAGTGATGCCATGTTCATGAAAGTTATGACTAATCCACCTTTCAGTCCACTGGTAGACAGATCTCTGCAAAACAACTCATTTTATTACAAGTCTATTAACTTACCCATAGTATTGAGGTAACATGTTTCTTTAAGATTATTTAAGTATCTTTCTGTCGTTCATTTACACTAAATTGCATGTGTTTTCAAGATAATATTCCCTCTGTTCACAAATATAGGATGTTCTATTTTTTTCCGAATCGGATGTATATAGACATACATGTTTTAGTGTGTTTGTCTCATTTCAGTCCGTATATAGTTCATATTGAAACATCCAAAACATCTTATATTTGTGGACGGAGGGAGTAGCTAGTAAGACAGTCTGTCTTACCATATAAAAAATGAAATGTACTTCAAAGATTAAAAATATGAATTGTGATGTTTAGATTCCAAAATGTATATGGTACAAGTCTTGGTTATGTTCTTACACTGCGACAATCCTCGGATTCTGGTTTCTCTTAGAGTAGTCGCAAGTCAAACCTTCCCAGGAATACTCTCTTGGAGAGCATGGATCTCCATTCCAGTTTGTTCGTGCCAAATTGTAGTTTTTCTTGACTTCTTTCATGTAACTGACTACAACACCCAAAAAACAATTGAAACAAATATGAACAGAATAAAGAATGATGTATGTTGGGTATGGCCGCTCATGTGATTAAAAAGAATGTAAACATTAACTTATCTAGTTGCAAAGTTATCTGTTGTGCAACTTTTATATATTTAATAGAAGTGAATAAACTGAATTAATCCATTTATCTACTATGGTCTTGGCCATGGTTTGTTGGCATTTGAATTTTAGAGCATGGGGCTTGGCTTTACTGTACTACTGGATCAGCTGGTTAAAACTTGTTTCTATTACTTACGAGGATACTGACAATGCCAAACGGAGTTGAGAGAATCTTCGGGGGTCTATACAAGTACACAATGAGATTTTCGTCACTAAGATTTGTTAAATGCAGGGAGCCTGATGTGCTGTTTATCAACTGAATAAACTGCAGGATGATAATGCGAATGTGCCACATACATGACATATGTGTGATAAGTGTATATGTGTAATAAGTGTGCAATGTCCAGATCAATGATAGGTCTTACCATCCTCGGGCTCGGTAGTGAAGTTTTCCATCCAAACGAGCGAGTACACCTCTAACGCGTTGATGAGTGGGGGCAGGATCGAGCTGCGCGTCTTATTCAGGGTGTAGATCGCGTCGCCGTTATACAAGAACTGCCCGCTGTCGTACAAGCTGTTGGCCTGTAATCGCGACGGGGAGAAGCCCCGGTGCAGCAAATCGTTGGCGTTGTAGATGTCAAAGCTTCTGTTCGGGTTGTTATCACTAATTTCAGCAAAGTGGAAGATTGGGAGAAGGCGGACGCTCTCGGGGTCCAGATTCTGACCCTTTGCCATGTCGAGACTCATGATGGAGTAGTTTGTGTCTAGGGTGGTGGCCTTCTGGAAGATGGCCATCGGCACGTTGAAGTAGTCGTCGCCCGGGAGAATCTCCACTTGCTTGCTAGTGTCCACGTTGGTCCAGGGGTAGGTGTTGTAGGGGAAAGACGAGGCCGCCCAGAACCGGTCGTAAGGGTCCACTGGATATCTGCATCGCACACAAAGGACAAGGAGAAAACAGGTAAGTAGCTAGCACGATACCACTACTTTTTGGTTCCATTGGAGCTGGTAATCTCATATTCTTGGCAAGCTTAGATGTACTTCCCGAGTACATTGGTTGTAAGTAGCATCTTATGTTACGGGATGGAGGGAGTACAATTTATTTTCTGTTACAAGTGCGGGATTCAGGATGCATAATAGCACACACTCCAAATGTATTGAGGACCCTAAAAGAATTGAGCAAGCCAACAGATTTTAAAACCAGACAGGCATAATTTAGTTCTAATCCAAAATTATTATGGATGCCAGTCTCACCTTGTGATAAAGTCAGTGACATTACCAAATCTGAATCGTCCAAATTGGCCGACTGATACCGATGTATTCACAAAAGGGTACATCGCATCTAGCAGTGGCCTCAGCTCCAAGGAAGACACGAACGGAGTCCCCGAACCAAAGTTTACCAGACAGACTGAGACGGAGTCGCCCGGGGCAACGGTGAGCACCTCCTTCCAGACTATAATTGATGGATCCCAATTTGTTAAGTTCACCGTATCCCAGAAATTGACGCCGATATGGAGCCCAAAAAGGAACAGCGACCCGTCCATACTCCTGTTCAACCCATCGTAGTCGCCGTAAGTAAACATGGCCCTCACCAGAAACTTTTTACCAGGGGTGGATGGCAGCGTGTAGCAATTCCTTGAGCCGTCGGGGAAGCTCCTCAAGGTTGTTTCGCTCTCAGATGCGGCATCAGCCATGAACACTGATGATATTTGGTGGGTCAAACCGCCCTCCACGAATCCAGCGTCGGACTGGTACTGTATTCCTTCTATGCTGCTGTCGTTGTAGGGAGTATTGTTTCTGTATCCACAGTCGAGGCTTATGAACCCTGCATAACGGAGAATACGCATCGGATTCATGTGTTTCAGGGTTAAGATGATCTCTCTCTCTCTCTTTTTTTTTGCGAATAAGGCTTAAGATGATCATGACATGTAGCACTAGATAGGTATTCAGTACTAGATAGGTATTCAGTAAATCGGGAGTAGTAGCTAATAATAATAATACGTCTATTGTTAAAGATTTCAGTAAAGCGGGGTTTCTTCAGTTGCACGCTGAAGTATACTAAAATGTTTAGGTGGAGCAGGGATTAAAGAGTCGCAGGATCGATAAATGAAGCTGGGAGGATATGGTTTGTGTTACCCGAAGTAGGCTGGCCATGGACTCGAGTCATCATGAGCAGCAAAGCCAAGATCCATGTCAGTCTTCCGTTTGCCGAGCAACTGAAGCACAACACCATGGTACGCTTCGGTTCTTGCAATGTCGGGAAGCAAGCATGCAAATCAACAAGCTTCGTATCTGCAACGAATGACCTGCGCACGCAGTTATATAGCAGAGAAACGCGACTAACACCAAGTACTGTATTTGAATTGACTTTACCTCAAGCGTAATAATGTGGACGAAGCAAAACGTTCTGTTCCTCAGCAAGTACCATTTTCGTCAAAGAAATGCAACTTGCATTCATGTAAAAATAGAAAATGCGGCTTGTATTTATTTAAAAATAGAAAATGCAACTTGCATTGGAGTTTAGTTTGACAACCCCGCGCTGACGTACTGCCCTTGATCAGCGTGATAAGAGCATCTAACAGCCGGACCTAACTAGTCCGGTCTCCTAAACGTGCGCGCACGCGCTCCTCAAAAGTCTGTTGTCACAACCGGTTAACTCAATTAGCAAATCTTTAAATCCGTACAAACACGTGCAACGTAAACTTAATTCTAAGGAGTACATCTTGATGGACTATTAAAAGTTTGTCGTAATGCTCTACTACAACATACACGCTATTGGACTAATAAAAAGTTGGCAGGTTCTACATACTATAGCTATGGAGAAAGTTCATCCATGATTGCTTGCCCTTGCTGTCTTTATCGCGGAAGTAGAATATGCAAAATGGATCGAGCTGAATCTGCTTACTGTCGGAGTTGTCCAACCCGTCCTTAGTTTCTTCCTTATCCTCTTTGGGGGGCAGTCTGACCATGGCACATGCCACCCAGTTATGCTATCAGACGAGGGCGCACTATGCCTCGAGAATGCGGACATGGAGGGCTTCCTCGTCCAAGGCGGCAAGCGACTCCGCCTCCGCCAGCTCGGCCTCGAGGGTTGTCGCGGCTTCTTGTGCTCTATGCCTCGCATGGCAAGCATGCCGTGCGTCAGCAACACATGTTAGCGTTGACCTCCGACCCGGAACCCGACGTCACAGGGACAAGGCACCACCGCCTTCGGTTGCGCCGCCACCCCAGTGTTGGGGCTCTAGACGGTCGTGTTGAAGTAGGCCGGAGATCGACGAAACAGAGTGAAGTGAAGTAGAGTGGTTAGAGTTTCATTCGGGATATATATAGTGGTGAATATATATGGGGTTGGAATGGCCAACGTGGGCTACATCAAAGGTGGTGGACGCTCCGGGGCGTGTCACGTCAATCCTATACTCTTTTTATTCCTGCTCACGTTTTAAAAATCCAGCGGATCAAAAAGGTCCTCGAGATCCGTGACGGGGGGCCCACGACGACAGCGCGCTACGACGGGGCCGGTAGCGGGAACTCGCTCCTACAGCGGGAACCGGATCCTCTAACATTCAGAAGGAAAATCACGGTGTTACAATGCTAGTCTAGTGTAAAATGAAGAAGGAAAGTTAGGGGTTGTTAGTAGGTAGTTAACGGGTTGTTTACTGTTGATATTTACTATAGATATAAATAATTCAAAATTAATTTTATTTCACCGTCAATTTGTTTGTATGTAATTACTATAAATCTACATAGTAGATCATCAATTTACAAATTAATTTAAGTAATTTTAGTCTTAATCATATGGATAGAAAGAAGGAAAGTTAGGGTACTGTAGCTTCTCTAACATTCCTTAACAATGTTAGAGGATCCGGTTCCCCTACAGCGACGCACGTTCACATTCTCTGAAGTCTGAACCAGTCTTATACAACATGTGTGTTTTTTTGATAAAAAAAGAAACAACTTTATTAATTAAAAATAATGGTTACATCATGTGTTAAATTAAAGAAGGATAGCAAAGTGTAGTACTCCCTCCGTCTCAAAATTCTTGTCTTAGATTTGTCCAAATACGAATGTATTAAGTCACGTTTTAATATTAGATAAATCCATATCTAGACAAATCTAAGACAAGAATTTTTGGGACGGAGGGAGTAAGATAAAAGGAAGAGGGCAACTTGCATGGCGAATTCGACGATATTGCGTCCAACGCCGAGCAAGCTGACGAGTACGTGGGAGTTTTCTTTATCTATAAAACAGGGGAAAGCCTATTTCGAGATTTGGGGGCTCATCGCACTGTAAATGCGTAAAGTTATTGATAATTTACTACAGTGTTAAAGATATATTTGGATTATATGTGTCTGGTAGTTTAGGATTTGTAGTCCGTCTCATATCTTATCTTTAGGAGAGGCATCACCCTCCAAGTCTTGTACTCCCTCCGTAAACTAAATAAGAGTGTTTAAAATACTAAAATGGTAATCTAAACGCGTTTATATTAGTTTACAGAGGGAGTACTCAATATATATTCGCCTTCGATGCTCAATAATACATCCATCATATTCCATAAATCATTCTTTATATCCCTTCTAACATGGTATCAGTCTAACCGATCCAAACCCTAGCCACCGCCCGTCGATTCTTTCCCGCGAGCCGCCCGCGGGGCGGTCGGCCTCCATGATCGCCGACGAAGGCTGCGCCTCCCGCACCTCGGGTTCGTCTGCCGGTCGAGTTGACCGGCTGTCCCGGAGAGTCTTTTTCACTATCCTTTGATCCGGATTTTTCTTTCTCCCGCCGGTCGCATTGATTGGCGTTTTCTTTTTAGTTTTCCGGTCTAAGATCGGTTTGCATCGTCTACCGCCACCGTCGTCCTTTGTGTGCCTCTACTTCGACATTGGCGCGTCCAACCGGCCTCCATTCTGACCAGGCGGCCTTGCGTGACATGCCGGCCCTCCAGGCTGTCGCATGTGCATCTGCCGCCCATCGCCCTGTGCCGGCCGTCGCCGTCCTAATCCGATCGGAACTCCATCCACCCCGTCTCCATCCATCGCATCTCAAGCTTCACGCGTAACGCTTGAGGTCTGCTGGTGCGGAGGCCATCGGCCGTTCCTCGTCGTCAACTCACGTGCTCAACACGGGCGTAGTTTGACGCCGCTGTGGCCGGCCGCTCGCGCTGACCACCGATCCCGCCGCTTGGTTCATGCAAGGTAGCTGCACGTGTGCAAGTGTTGGCCTGGACAACTTACGTGCAGGTCTTGGTTTGGGCATGCTGACCGTTGCATTAGGTGTGCTGCGTCCTTGTACGCGTTCAATCAGGTTCCTGTATATAAGTATAACTCGTGTTCATCTTCTGTTGTCAGCTCTTGTCATCTGGTCCAGCGAACACTCCGACCTCGCGGGCGTTTGGGCTGATCAACCTAGAGTACACGATTTGCTTCGTCCACACCGCGCGACTAACCTCGCCAGCTGCTTGTACGCGCCTCCGTCCCGTGAAAATTGTTCTCGAGTACAACGCACCCCTTCACCGATCAAGCAATGGGCGGCCGAGGTCGTTTCCGTGGCTGCATCGACCCGCGCATCACTGTTGCGCCACCCCTTCGAGCCGTAGTGCCGGGCACGCGGTCCACGCCGCCGCTCTGAGGTCTTCCCGCCATCGCCTTGACCTATCCGATGCCGCTGCGTCGCCCCATCGGGCCATAGCGCCGCGGCCCGCGGTCCACTTTACTTATCCCCGCGCATCAACTTCCCATGGTATGCGCCCCGCCTCCTTTCTTGGCGTGGGAACGCCATCATCCGCGCCGTTCTTCGTCATGTTGTCGAGTTCTTCGCGTACTTCGAGCAGCGCCGCCGCGCTCCTAACCTAGCCGCTGCCGCCTGTCCACCTCCTTCATCTATGTCCAGCACCAGCTCGTCGCCAGCGTCGCCGTCCTCTTCTCCGACCACTTCGTCTACTTCGACCACCGTTGGTGACACCGACCCCACGCCTATTGGCGCCACAATCGTCATCGAGTCTCCTTCTCTGCTAGCTCCACTGACTCCTCGACATGGCATACAGCTCAAGCAGGTCCGTCGTCTATGCATGCCGATGCTGAAAACACCGATGCGTGCCTTCGTCCACGGCGTGTCCCTGGGCCTGGCAAGCCTGGTGCTGCGCTTCGTCAACTTCGTCTTCGTCCGTCTACGCATGCCCGATGCTGGCAACACTGATGCGTGCATTCGTCCATGTTGTGTCTCCGGTCTTGGCAAACCCTGTGTGACGCGTCGTCAACGTCTTCTTCCCCGCGCACCACTACTTCGACACCATTGCACTCATGACCAACTCGGCGACTCCTTGCGCCCGCAGCTCCGCGGTGACTTCCTCGACACCGGCCACCCTAACTCGACATCGACCACGGTGTACTTCGCACGGCTACCTCGGTCACGACTACACCACCCTACGCTCTCAGCTAACTCGACAAACGACACAAAGGGCTACTGCCTTGCTAGAGCAACCTCGTTTTTTCCACTCCAGCTACAACTTCTACGATGCATCGACCATTGCGATAGCAGGGTGATACGTCTCCAACGTATCTATAATTTTTTATTGTCCCATGCTATTATATTATCAATCTTGGATGTTTTATATGCATTATTATGCTATTTTATATCATTTCTGGGGACTAGCCTATTAACGTAGTGCCCAGTGCCAGTTACTGTTTTTTCCTTGTTTTTGTCTTTACAGAAAATTAATACCAAGCAGAGTCCAAATGGAACAAAGCTTTTTGACGAATTTTTGAACCACAAGACACCCATGAAGCTTCGGGAAGAGACCTGGAGGGCCACAGGGTGACCACAAGCTCACAGGGCGCCCCCTGGCGCCCCCAGGCTTGTG